CTAGTAGATTTGGTAGGTGTAATTGATTGAATGATTTTTTTAAGATTTCACAACTTCATTTATGACCTTTTAATGGGCATGCTCGAGACGGATAATAGCAATGACTATTTTAATTTAAAGAAAAAAGGTTAACATTACACATTCTCGTATGATTGTTCCTACGTCATCTTGCTTCCATCTTTTTATTTCGCTTTTTACGTGAAGTGAAGTTTTTTCATTTTTTTTTTTCATTTAAATTTTTACCGTTGATTGAAATTAATCGAACAAGAAATTCTACTTTTTATACCTTGTATCCAGTTTTTACTAAAGTGGATATGGATGTGTTAACGAATATAAAAGACAATTACTGTTCCTTTCAAGAAGTTCAAGAGATATGCCCCTTCCCTTTATTAGGATGCGCCGTAGCATAATTTCAAATTCAATCATATTTGTCTGCTGAGCTCATTTCTTCACCGATCATCGAGCGAGAGCTAGACAAAAGTGTACAGTACCATTTGCAAAATTATTTAAACTACCTCGTTAAAATTTAAGAATATGCTTTATTTAAAAGCATATTTAGCCATTTTAATAACAAGTGAATTAACTTAACGTTCTACACACCTATAAAACTTTCGCTTTGTTTTCTATTGTTAATTTATATACATTTTTGTTTTAAGAAATTGCTAAACATTTTCGTCTAATACTGTACAGTTCTAGCCGATCTCCTAAGACCGCCCATCGAGAGCTCTGCTCGTTCAAGCTTCTTCCAACTATTTCTGTCTTGCTCACGCCTAATGTATATTCTTTCTATCTTCGCGCAGATTTTTTCAAGGTCACAATTCTAACAAATTGAAATGGGCTGTATATAGCTTTGGTTCTACGATAAAGTAAGAGAGCTTTGAAAAGTTATTGCAAAAAATTTATCATATATAACATCAGTGCTTTAACATAATTCAACCAATATTTTGTATAAGAAGTCGATGGCTATTTATTTTTTAATTTTGCACTATTGAAAATATAGGTATTTTGGATTAAATGTATTTAATTTAAACATCAGAAAATTTTACGAAAATTATAGAGCATGCAGATTGATGCTAAATAAGATTTATTTAAAAATTTTCAATTGTAGTGTTGAATGTAATCGATTCGTCGCTTTTTCAGCATTTTCGAACAATGGCTCTAAACAGTAGATGTAATTAGCTGTCAAAATAGCAAACCTAATATCTATGATGCTTTTTTTTTGTCTGCCGCACGAAAATTAATAATAACGATTATGTAATCCTCGTGATCGTCCGTCAATGACGATCGAATCGGTGCGTTTTTCTCGCCGAGCAAAATCCGTAATGAACGGCGTTGTCGTCGGCCGATTTTAAGAAACCGACATCAGTGAAACCTCGGTTTATTTCACTTTCTTCGTCGACTTTTTCGATCTGTTTATTCTAATTTACACGCCCGATTAATCCAAAACGAATTCATTCGATTTCTGGTTTAACTTGTTTTCTTTCGGTCATAATAATTCTTTTCTCGCGGCGGACTTAAAAACCGAGCGCAACTGTAGCAAATCACACACCGTTCTAGATAGTGCACCGGCGTCTGCGAATTCGTATTTTGCAAAAGGCGTTTACAGAAAAACAAAAAAAAACGTCATCTTCTTCTGCCTTAAATCTAATTAAGAGCGCGATCTTACCATTATTATTGTTATTTTACGCCTAATTATTTATATTTGACAAAATTTAATTGATTGGCGTTATTGTGTAACGCTTTTTGGTTTTAATTTAGGTCTGCTGCTTGACAAAAAAAGTACTGCGTTGTTTTGACAGTTACATCGTAATCCTCATCGTCAGGTCTTTAACCTATAGACTGATGCACCTTCCACATCTTCCAATATTGAACTAATCAATTTCTCTCAAAAAATAGAGTAGTGCATCTTTCTCGTTTTTCTACATTCTTTAACAGAAAAGTGAGATTTTTGTCCTCGGCTATTTCAGAGATTGGCAAACACACAAATATCTATTCGGTAGAACAATTTTTTAAATGACTACATATAGTATAAAACAAAATCGCTTCCCGCTGTCTGTCCCTATGTATGTTTAGATCTTTAAAACTACACAACGGATTTTAATGCGGTTTTTAAACACATTTTTTTGCGCTTACATTGCAAACGCTGGCTGAACCCTACGAGATAGATCAAAATAATGTGCTACAATATTGTACACCTTAAAAAGGTCTACAAAAAGTCCAGGATGGTATATATCTCTTAGGGATAACCCACAATAACCATTTTTTAACTTTTACTTTTTATGAGAAATAAATAATGGCTTATTTACGAAGCGATTTTAAGCAATACAGCATTAATTCTTATCCAATTAAGTACCTTAAATACATTGTGCATTTAATATAGATCAATATGGCCCTTACAGCATGTAATTTAAATGAATATTTTCGAAGATATTACAGATTTAAAATACAGGGACAAAGCGGTTGCGGCGGTACCGGCCGGGAGGCCGGTCTGTATTGTCTAATGACAAAAAAGCTGTGAATGTTGTATATAATGAACACATTCTGTAGTATATTTAGTATGTTCAGGAGGTGTCTTTTGAAGATTTCCCCTCTTCGAGAATAATCTAAACAAAATATAATAATAATAATAATATTGGTAAGGAACCTCTTCTATAAACCACATAGCCCGGATTTCGATACTTTTAGACCCCCTCCTTTATATGGTTTAACGTAGCATTTCTTCCAACCCCACTAAATCTACGTAGCTTCCCCCCGCTTAGGTAGCTTTTCACCCAATGCCCCTTAACCTAACCAAGATCACTCCGACTGTTTTTAATACTTTCTCAGAATCCATTCAACTCATTTCGTCGATTTATATACAAAACTTGGTAGGTAATATGTTGACCAGTGTAATTAATATAAACCCTGGATATCAAATAATTCTCTTATATCAACAAGCTCACCCTCACACCTTAGTTGCATTTGAATTGAAATAGTCTATATCGTCCCTGCATCCCCCCCAAAGCTGCCCCTCATCGATTTCTTGCACTTTTCTTTCTCGTCGATTGGTTTGTACGGATTTCGATTGATATTTTCGAGTTTTTTATTTTCTGCCTATTAAATTCATGTAAATTTAGATAAGATGATAGAAAAATCTCGAACGCAACAAAAATCGTTTTGGTAGGTACCATAATTTTATATCCAACGGAATGTGAATGATTTTGTAATATGTCATCAAATTAAATATGACATTTAATGTTTCAATTTCTTTCTAAATTTCATTTGGCCAAAGCAACCATGGGCATGAATTAACATATAATTATTCTTAATGATGTCTAATGCCCAAATGTGATTAGATTTCTTATAAAAGTTATTCACTTATGATCATAAATTCACTCATGTAAAATGAAACAGTAATCACATGAATTGGGTATTTGACAGTAACTCAAACGAATACAGTTATTAAGCAATTAAACTAAAAATTTACTTGGTACATTCGTGCTTCACCCTTTCAAATGTTTTTTCATAAGTTATTGAATGTTGAATACTTGAAAAAATTTGGAAATACTAATTTTAATATATCATGTTCAAAAACTAAAATCTTTTATTCGTTTAACATACTACACTGGCAATATTTCCGAAAAGTAGTGAAACTGGAAAAAATTCGCGAAGGTCTGGTATCTTATGAAACAAAATGTAACTCTTTTAGACAACACAATTAAGACATAATCGATTAACTATCAAAATCCGATGTAAATAGGCTGAAATGTAGAGATTGTAGCAAAATCTACATCGGGTAGGCAGAAAGACCCTTTAAACTAAGAATAAAGGAACATCACATATCATAATTATTAAGAAATTCAAAACATCTTTACAATATTATAAAATTTTAACATTTCAAGATTTAATCATGCAAAAATCAGAACTGTATTAAAAAATTTAGAAATTGAAACACATCCTTTTAATACTTAAAGACAATCCCGCCTCGAAAATTGTGATAAATACGCATTATTTAGGCTGAATTCCTTTTTATAACTAAACAGTTGTTTAGTATGTTGATTATGACGAGTTATCATTGATAAAATCATTGTTGGGCTTTGGACACATTAGTGATGACTTTTGGTATTTCATATTCAGTGTTTTTTTAACGACTGGTTTATCAGGTATACAATTTTTGTTATTTGTTCTATTTCCTTTTAAATATCATGGTAGGGAACTGTTACAGTTTTAATTGTAATTTTTGGACACTAGTTAAGTTTTTAGCAAAGTCATAAAAATTGTTATACAGAAAGTAAAGTTAAAATTACAATACATGTGATGACAGTTGGGAGTAAAATTAAATTTTATCACAGTCTACAGGTGTGAACATACCTAGATTCGGATGTTACAATGACAGTAGAAGGGCAAGCTAAAGAGTATCGACAGTGGAATTCGTTTATTATGACTCCGCCTGTATTGACGAACCGCTTAATATGAAGTAATTGCAGTGTTAAGTTTGGTTTTCATATTAAATTCTCTATAGGAAACTTTGGATATAATGACTTCGTTTACAATGACATATCGTGTATTATGACAGATTCTCAAGAAATCATATCCGGCTATAGCGACCCAAATGTTTAATAATAACATTTTCGCTCATTTTTCTGACCCTTCTTATGTATATTAATATTACAATTCATCGTTCTTTTTCTTTTTCTGTTAATAAATATATACAATTTGTAGTTTTTCTTTCTATTGAACAAAATAATTAACCAAAATAGAAAGTTGGTTTCTATGACGCCCGCTTGGTATGACGCGTTTGTCATTTCCCTTCGATGTCATTATAAGCGGATTCTACTGTATTACCAAATCGATTTTCATTTCTCACAATCAGTGACGATGATTCAAATAAATAAATTAACAAACATTGATTCAAAATGTATAACCTTGTGGTTAGTACCTAAAGGTTTTTATTTTGGTAAAAAATTCACTTTACTTCAGTTCATCAATTCAATCAAACACATTCGCTAACTCATTCCTACCTGGTTGATGTATGCACGTTTTGTGCGGCATACCATTCTGCTGATTGAAATAGTTTGGTAACCAGGTTTGGTCTTGGGACCAGTTCCTGTTCACAGGGACGTTGTCTGTAGACGGGTGCTCGTAGGGTGCTGATAGAGGCACTCGCACCTGTTGGCAACAGCCACTGTCCGACGTGCTCATGGAAATGTATCCATAATTGTCCCGAGGCCACACTGAACCCGCAATTTTAAATATCACTCGAGTACGGTTCTGGACGTGAAAAATGCTCTTTGAGAGAGCTTTGTGTATGCGGTAAACGCTAAATTTCAAAATGGACCGAACTAGTAGACCAGACGGTCTGCTCGAAACTTTTCGTATGTAGTAGGTATCTAAGAGTGCGGGGAAGAATAAAAAAAATGAGAAAATTCATTAATATTTAGATTAATAAAGAAAAATGATCGTGTAATAAAGATAGGTTACTTGGATTCTTATTAATTGTGTCTGGTAATAATTAGAAAGCAGCATTTCAATAAACCAGGCAAATTAAAAAAAAAACAAGTAACCTAAATATCGATTTCGTCCATTTCTGTGGTAATTCCCTTATTTCAAATTCTTAATTTTCTGATTACCAAAAAGAGATTACTTATAGTATATATATCTACATATTATTTTCATAGTACATAGGGGATCAGTCAAATGGGAGGAGCCTAAAAAACATGGCGTTGATGAGAGAAAATTTTTCCCCATGGAAAACTACAGCGTACTGTGCAATTGTGGATTTCTAAAATTGATATGAAATGATAAGTATTAGCACAAAATGTGATTTAGTTACAAAAAGGGGGAATTTTTGTTGTATTCCATGATATTTTATTATAATTTAACCGAACAGGTGTATATTTGATGCAGATTAATAAACCGAAATGCAAATAAATACATAAAGCAATTCACTAAACCCTTTCAAAATGAAATTATTCATCGGAGTACCTGCATTGTTAATTGCTCAGCAGTTACTTTTCAATCAAAAGTCGAGTAAGTAAAGAGCACTGAACCTTCAAATTTTGTGGAGTAAGTTGGATCGAGATGCGGTTTTCTGCATTCGATTCCTGAGACCGTCTACAAATTTTGGGGACATAACAGATCAATTCATCTGCAAAGTTGTTATAAAAAAAAATTGCAACTCGGTCAATAATGAGAGAACGAAAGTCCAATTTTGTTACTCGGGGGTTCTGAGGGTCGCTGAACACAAATATGCAGTCAGCGAAGGCCTTCAAGGTACCTGGAGCCCAGGGCAGCCGTCCTACACGTCTCCAGGAGTTACGTTTTAAATTAATTAACTTGGGGGTTTTGAAGGTCGCTGAGCACGTATATGCAGTCGGCGACGACCTCCGAAGGTATCTTGGACCCGATGATCGATATCGATAAATGATATTGATTAATTTTTTTCTAAAGATAATGCTTTAAATAAATGAAATTTTTGTTTGATACACAGTTAATATCTTTTTTATAAATATTTGAAACATTTTAAAAAAAATAACTGTTTTACAAAATTTTCTCTATTTCTTTGTGTGCAGTCGTAAATTATAAATTTGTGTTCAGGGAGCCTCAAAATCGCCGGTAACAAAATTGGCTTATTTCTATCATTACACTTACATGATTGAATTTTTCTTATGCACAAATGTATTTTTAAAGATAAATTGATCTCTTTTCTTCACAAAGTTTGTAGACGATATTACGAATCGAACGGAGAAAACCGCATTTCGATCCAACTTCCTGCACAAAAATTCGAAGGTTTACTCTACTTTTGTGCTACATTTCCTTGACTATAATGAGATATTTCTAAAGATAATAAATATTTACATTTTTATTTAATTGATTCAATATGTGTGAACGAAACACGTGATATTATCTAAATTTCACCCATTGATCAAGAAAATTATTCTTACAACGCGCCAGTTTTGTTTATTATTGTAGATTTTGGAATAAATATTTAAAAATAAAGAAATTAATTTTATAATTCTATAAATACTGAATAACAAAAAGGACAGTTTCAAATTTAGTTTTGATAAAACTTGATTTAAAATTTTATATTAATCATTGGTAATTAACAGAAAGTATAACTGACGATTAATAATGCAGTTTTTTATGAGAGCGTTTTTCCAGCAAATAGTCAATTTATAATGAATAAATGTTTTAATAACGTACCGATAGAAAGAAATGTTATAACTTGATCTACAGGGTGTTCAAAAAATGTTCCAAGAAAACTACAAAATCGAAATTTAAATATACTGTTTTTAAATTTTAGCATTGCTTCTACATTTATGATATAATACAGTTGATAGGTACTCATCACATGGGTGAATTTGCTTCTAACTTAAAGGTCAAATTAATTCGTTTAATTTATTACCTGGATTAGTATAATAATTACTTTTATTTTTGGGGAAACTAATATTTTAGACGTTTCAAGAAGTGATGCTAGTTATAAGATAAAAATAATATCAACATCTTACGAAATGCACAGTCCGAATTGAAAAAAAAAAATTGAAAATTGTTTTGTGTAAAATAATTCAATTTTTCATGATTTTAAGGGGGATTTTTAAATGTAATGGAAACCTATTTATATTTCGTAGGGGGTTATTTTGCCATGTAAATCATTAAGAATTGAATGTTAAAATACATCAAATTTATAGGGGTAGTAGAACCATTAAATCAATCAAAAGCTTGTAGTAAGTTATAAATTTTTCACTAATTTTTAGTCAGAAATAATTATTCATAACTCGAACAAACACGAAAACAACCGTATCTTTATTTTTAAGACAATATGACAAAAGTAAAAAACAATTTTCCATTAACGATTCTTCTACTTTTTTGGTTAAAATTAAATTTAATAGTTAATCATTTTTAAGTATAGTCCTTACGAGAATTGGATGAAATTGAAAAATGTAATTGAAAAATTATTCTACATACGTATGCACATAAGATATGGTAAAACTTAATCATATACAAAGAGATTATACAGAAAATATAGAAAATAGAAGTCAAAAAATTATATATATAGTAATAGAAAACCAAAATAGCACTTTGTATACAGTACAATTTATGTAAAAGATTATGACGCGCCTAGAATGAGAAACAGATTAAGAGGAAGATTAATATGTAGCAGAGAAGTGAGAAATTGAAGTTATAGTTTTAGTGTAAAAAGAGCAATCTTTAAAAACCCTTGTAGCATGCAAAGAAATAATGCACACATACTGTTGGTATTACGTTACAATATTGTTGATTGTTTTGGTTTAACGGTTCTACCACGATAATAGAACTGACAGACAGACAAACAATAAATAAATAAATGCTACTATTTCACAATCCCTTATTAGTAAAGGAACGTTCTTAGCAGATACGGAAAAATCAACCCTTATCACACAATAAACACTTGCAATCTACAACGATCTCCTCAAGGTGACTCCAACGGCCTTAAACCCTTTTTTTTATAATAATAAGTACACTTTTAATAAATATCCACAACAATCACAGAAAGAAACATCGTTTGACCGATATCATTTCACAACAACAATCGAGATAAACGTTTCGTACGATAAAATAGTCACCGTCGTTTTCGTCAAGATAAAAATTATTGTCGTGCGACAGATAAAGCCAATTAATTACCGCCGGGGATGATTGTTTTGTTGACGGTGGTACGACAAGTACTAGTGTATTAAACGAGTTCAGCTCTGTCGTTGATATCCAGGAGGAGGCTCGACTGGAGCGAAGGCCATACGACGAGCGAGTCGTCCACGTCCGATTCCACGTGCTCCGGGAAACTCACGCTTCCGGACACGTGCCCGAGCGCGTGGACTTTGCTGTGGCGTTCGTTCGGATTGCTGAAGCGGCAGGAACGCGCGAAATGCTGCACATTTTCATATTTATCCACTTATATAAAGAAATTTACATGCACATGTGTATATACTTGTATTGTATACGTATACATACATATATAAACACGTATCTACGAATGCGTATCATATATACTTATCGCAATTGTAATGGGCTTGTTGGAGGGCCAGCTCTTTTCCTTATTTTTATTATTATTGCCAGTATTATATGTATATAATATCCGCTGTTTACTGGTTGTCGTTGTCGAACTCATATTCTGATAACATACATATATTAAACTTTATTGTTGATTACTAGGGTTTATACAAAAACCGACATTTCAGAAAACCGGTTTTCGAATTTCATAATTTTCTCCAAAAAACCGGTTTTTAAAAACCGACAGACCCTATTGATTACTGTTCTATATTCGAAACTAACGGCTGCGTATTAGATGAAATTGATAAATATGCCTGAGCATATATTTTCTGTCATCATCATAGGGTTGTCCTATGACTCCTTCCTCTCCTGCACTAATCATTGCATTTCCATAAAACTAGAATCCCGATTTTAGAATTCAATGTTCAGAATTAAGTGTTCATCATCATCATTAGGTCATCAGTCCTAAGACTGGTTGGACACGTACCTCCACTCTTTCCTATCCTGAGCTAAACTTCGCATTTCCCTAAAACTAGAACAGCCCACATCCTTAACTATTTGCGAACAGTAATCTAATCTAGGTCTACCTCTACCCCTCCTAACTCCTGTTTCTTCCTCTAATATGTCTCTAAATAGACCTTCATGCCTGAGAAGGTGTCCTACCAACCTATCTCGCCTATTTTTTATTGACTTCCATAGAGTCCTGTTCTCCTATTCTTTCCAATACCTCTTCATTTCTAACCTTTTCTACATCCACGATATCCTCATTAAGTCTTATATTATTAATATTGAAGAAAAAAAAATCAATATTGACACCGCTTGGCAGAATCGAAAAACCGATGACACACTTCGAAGGACAAATTAGCATTCGAGAGATTTTTCTTCTGTATTAGATCGATTTAAGTGATTGAAAATCATATTTGTTGCGTTTAGAATAGGCTCACTTACGTATTACAGTTTTTCAAATACAGTTTGACCCCTACGGTTTTTTAAGTAGAATAGCTGTTGTTTTTATCGTCTTTCTTGTTTGTCGAATTTTACTGTGCCTCTCCAATTATAGAGAGTACCACGGGGGTAATACAAATCTGATTTCCTTGAAATGTATCGAAATGAAATATATAAAGTGCAGAAAACCTGTTGGCCACAAAAAGGACTGTTCGCTTATCCATTTTACTGAACCGTAAAAATGAGAAGAAAGTTTTACGCAGTTACAGAATTGCGATTTACACAAAAGCACTTCGAAGAAAGAAACTAGGCAGTGGCATTTAAGATGGTTTGGATTTTACGATAATTAAATTTAGACTTTAAATATCGGCCGGATTCACAGAAACGTTCATTTTGTTAAATAATGATTAAATTATACAAG